TATCTCCATTCAAACTGCCGGCCGGTCAAAGGGGCCTTCCCGATCAGGGGTGCCAACTGGCGCGCCTCCGGGGCTGGGTAGATGGGTCCGCTGGTAGAAGGCGCCACGTGGACGGTGCTAAGTACAGCTATTGTTAAGTGTAGAAACATTTTGGTATCTGGAACCAGGTGGGATTGTGGTTCATGGCGTAATGTTTAGATCACAGAGCCTCCACCACTGAAGGCCATGTTCTATCACCGTCTAACACATGTGAATTTTTTGGTGTGGACTTTGCGAACTCTGTGCAAGAGTTCTCGGGTTTGGCAGGTTCCCGGCCACACGTTTCACACTTTATCGGCTCTTCAGTAACAGTTCATCTACTCATTGCCTTAAATGACCTAAACGTTGGGGGATCTTTGAACCATAACTCATTAAAATTAATAAATTAATTAAACCTGATAAAGAAAAAAATCGTGGCATCCAATATTTCAACACAACAAAGTTTTAATTTCAAATATGTGAGAAAAAACGTTAAAGAGATCTAAGAAAATTTCAGATTTATTATGGAATTTGGATTAATGAGATTTTATTGATCTAATTTTCACTACGTTCACTCCAGAATTACGTTTTTGATCAGTTTAACAAAAAACTTTGTTAATATTTTACTTACAAACATTTTATTTCATTTTTTCTCCTTTTTGATATTATTTTTCTAAGAAACTAGTATTTTTTTTCTTCTGAGGATATTGGAGAATATTTCTAGATTGCATCTCGATAGTCCAGAAATTGTTCCATCTGAGTCTTCACTTTGCTGAAGAGATCGTGGAGAGAGTGATTTTTTTAATAACACCTATAATACCCACTATCTTTATTGGTTGCATAGTTTCTTGATTTTCTTATCAAAAACATCTATTTGGGAAATTTCTGAGATAAATGAATATTATGATATAAATGGAACAACAGGCCAAAAGGTATTAATTTTGAAATTCATTTCAATTTAGTATAAAAACAAATTCTTAATGTATTTTAAACTTTCTCACCATACACGAGATATGGCAGTTTAAATGTTTTACTTAAACTAATTTATTTAATTTAATTTAAATAGCTAAAGATATATAATGAATATGTCAAAAAATATTAAAGCCCCATGACATTAACCCTTCAAAACGCATTAAATTTCTCTTCAAATCGATGATTTATGATACTTTGGTTCTCATATTCTGGATAAGGAATGTACATCTTGAAATTGTATGTGTGAGAACACCTAAGATTTTATTTCAATGCGGAGAATTGCCAATATATGTTAGCTCTGCATAAAATGAAAAATGCAGAAACGTTGTTCGTAAATACAAAGCAAACGTTTATTTTAAATTTTGACAATTTCAAAATAATACTCAGATAACTATTCATTAAATGTCGGTAAAAGGGGTGCAAACTAAGGTTCCAGAATGTCATATTTCGAATATAAAGCTATCCATCCAAAATTTTGGTACGACGTGATATAAATTAAATAAATAATACATAAAATATTTAAAATATTCTCCAATAGCAGTTTGATATCGTCAACAAATCTTCAAAACAGACTGTTAAAACCCCTTTTCCTTTGCAATGTTCCGGAGCCAGCACTTGTGACGGAAGAGCCCAGAAGGCCGCAACAGACGTCTGCTGACGCTTCCCCACCCCTGAACAAACGAACCGCGTGGAGCGCGCGGCTACAGCGTCGTTTTGTTCCCTGGGATATTTAACAAACCTAAATAGCGATCCCCTTTATCCCGAATCGGGCGGGGGAGACCCCTGGAAATTTATAACCCCGCCGGGCGCGGGAAGGGGCAATCTTGATATTGGGCGTTCGCAAGAAGTGGCGATGCCCATATTTGTCGGGCTGAATGTATATTCCATTATCTTCGATATCGGTTCTATTCAAGAGCGACATTTTTAGCACGTGAAAGTGACTAGGGTTTTGCACGGGCCTCGGAGGAGCTCGCATTAGGAATTCAGGGCGCCCGGAGGATGACACGGGTGGCGGACAGATGAAAATCACGGCGCGCGGGAGCTGCAAATATCTCGGGAACCCCTCTCACTAGAGGTCGCCTCCCTTCTGTTGTTTACTCCTTTCCTCGCCGCCGCCGCAGTGAATCACGTTCACCCCGCAACGAATTAAAATATTATAATAGATTGTCTTTGACCGTCGCTGTATTTCGTTCGCGGCAGTTGGTCCCGCGGCTGGAGTTAACTTCGCGCGTCGTTAGGGACCCAGCGGGTGCTTGCTTCAATACGAAAATATTAAATTAGCATGCGTTTACATAACTCAACTGCATTGCGCTTATTAGATGGGCATAGTGGGTAGATTGGAAGGTAGGGTTCTTCCTTATATAAAATGAATCTTCCTAAGTGGAAATTGCTTGAGAAAGATTAATGGATATTCTGATCTTTTGTTTACCTTTCTGACGCTGCCTTGTTTGTTAAGGTGGGTTTGTTTATTTTATTATTTATGTAAATGGCTAGCGAGAAGTGTTCATATTACCAGAAGTTTTTGGTAGGACATAGCTTAGAGGTAAATGCTGGGAAAGTAACATTAAACTCCACGTGTGCAATGGAAAAATATATTTTCCAGGGAAGTTTGCTTCTTCGTCTTTAGTGAATGTTTTTCATAGGGCATTAGTTTTCCAGTTTCGTTAGCATTTTTAGTATTATTCTATTTCAAAATGAATTGCGTAATAAGCGCAATTAAAATTCTGGAAACAAATGCTGGAAACTAATCATCCATCACACCCATAACCTTCAAAAACCTTTGGATTAATAAATTGGTGTAACAATATATTGATGTATGTGCATTAATTTAAATTATTAACAATCAACAACAATCAAATTAATAACAAGAACGTTATAGATTGATATTGCTGAAAGTTAATAGATGCAATTACTATATTGTTTTATAAAAAGTTATTGTTGGCTTTTTTTGTTCAGTTTCAAAATGTCAATTTCACTTAGTTGTAAAGTTAATTCGCTTAAATTGTATATCTAAATTAAACTGAGAACGATTTCGCAAACGTGGTGTACTTACTTTTACAGAACTGAGGAGAGAATGCATCTGTGAAGCAGAAAGGATGAGACCACGACGACGAGGAAGGAGTTTACGCCGACGCGACGTTGGTGAGAATTCACATCACTACGGAGGAGCGTCGACAGGTGCAGCCGAGGCTGGTGACGTATCATCCAGCACACCAACAAGCAAAGCCGACAAGGTGAGATTCCTTGCTAGTTGGTGGTCACTAAAATCGGTGGAAAGTAGACAATACATTCACTATTTTTCAAAATTTCGGATTAGTTACAATCTAAACGTCACGTCATTACTGATGTTGTATTCCTGTTTTACAACAAAGGCTCATTGTCCGTGTTTTCGATTTGCAGGTTGTTTACGAGTGGGAGAATGGCTACATGAACTGATACTCCCTAAAGAATTATGCTTAGTACTAGTCGTTTTTACGGTATTGCCTCACTTCCTAAAAAGGTGACTGCAAGTAGCTAATGAAATGCCTTTTTAAAGTAATTTGTTTTATTTTAATTTTTCTAAAAATGTTGCACCTATATTATAAATAGCAATGGTTCACCTACTTAGAATGTATCCTCTATAGAGTTATTTTATAAGTGTGTAATTGTGGTAAAATAAATGGCAAATCTTGAAAAATGCTGATAAAACGTTATTTAAAAAATATGTAGTGAAAGATTGTAATTTGTCAGTAGTATGTTATAAGAGATAATATATAATTAAGGATTTAGAAATAGCTGGTAAATTTTACTGTGCATGTGGTTGATCAACCAGAGAGGGGATGCCATTATGCAGGAGGTTTGATGCAAGACAATGACCAATTATGATTTTTCGGTGAAATACCTACGATAAAATTTGCTTAATTTTGTACGTGATAATATGGGTAATTTTTAGTTACAATGTATAGGAAAAACTACGTGATGGTGGGTAGTTCATTTCACAAAGGGAAAATGTTCGAAATACTTGTATATTGGTACTAATATTCCTTATTTTAGCTAAATGTAAATATTATGAAAATCGTGAACCATTAATTTGTCAGTCTCGATGTATCGAAAGGATTGGTGATTATTAAAAGGTCATATAAGTATTTAAACAAACTTTTGTAGAAACCAACCACTTCAATTCTTGTTTCAAAGTTGCAAACATTCTACTGGAATTTTTAATTTCCTCTTTGGTTCCTGCTTGTAAAATAAGTTGCTTGCACATTCTGTGCAAGTAATTTAAAATGTATAAATTGTTTACCAATTCATTTATTCGAAATTACTTTCAATTCAACTGAAAATGTTGGTTAATGAGAATTGGAATTCATACCGCAAGTGAAAGGACCGCACATGTAAATCACTCCACTAGAAAGGATAATTGATTGAGAACTTTCAAGAAACATAGAGCATTATGCGGCGTAATGTGTAGCTAAAATGTGAATTGTCGCTTTTGGATTCTTTTGACTTTAAAAATATTTTTTTCAGCACTCGTGGCTGGAATTTTGTACATGCCACAGTTGACTTTCGCGTGCGTGTACAAAGAAAGGAAAACACTGTGGCGACATGAAGCTACAGATCTGTCACTTTCATGTTGATAATGGACTAATACTTCTAAGTATATACGTCTAAATTTTCGTAAATTTGTACTAAACTTAATGTATGCAACTCGTAAGAAAGTGTCTTTGACTTACTCATTTCAAAATGCTGGACTCGGCTCTAACGTCACCTCGCCCGTCAACATTTCATTCCCATGGCGACCAATTTCTGGAATAACTGCAAACATATTTTGTGTGAGTGCGACTCTCAGCAGAAAATAAAGTTACTTTAAATTCGCGATAAAAAACAAGATATACCTTTTATTTCTTTATTATGTTATGTATGTCAGGACAATATACCAGAATATATAAGAATATTGTAACCGTACGTAGGACCCCAGTCTAATAAACTTTCGCAAATAACCATTTGGTAATGCTTTTAGTAGGTAGAAGAAGAAGAAATAAGCGACAACGTGATCAATCAAACAGGGCACAGTTCCGGTCCGGATGGCCGATATAATTAAGGCAGTAGCGCCGTAGCGATCTCGTTACGAAGGATCGTGGGTTCGAATCCCACCTCAAGTTGTATATGTGTGCGTCCTTTCAACCCCTATCATCACCATATCACGTCATCTTCACAGTTATCAATCCGTTAAATGCAATAAAGGTCCCTAATGACTATGAATTACAAAAAAAAGACACCAATCGATCGATCGAATTCGGTATCATTTCATGTCCTTTCTATTCATTGTCATCCCCCTCCCTCTATCCTTCCTTTCCTTCGTCCTCTCTCCAATTCTCCCTCCTGGCATCGCCGCGGGCGTCGCGCTGTTCGCCCCAATGAAACGCGATCGCGCCCGTAAGGTACTCTAATTTACGGAGGCCGCGCGGGCGGGCGGAGGCGGCGGCGGGCGATAAAGAGCGCTTGGGGCATCGGGCGGCGTGGACGAATCGCCTCGCGCCGCCCGCGCGACGCGCTCGATTCCCGCGCCGCGTTTATCGCCCGCCGCGCGCTTTATCAGCGCCCGCCGCCGTCGCCCCGCCCGTAATTGGCCCCGCCGCCGCGCCGGTCGTTAGCCCGCGCCCGAATAAAGATGTCCGTGGCCCGGGGCGCGCGGCTCAATCAATTAGACAGGAATGCCCGCGATGTCGCCGGACGCTGGTCACTGGGGTGGGGGGTGGTGTGGGATAGGAATCTTGTTTGGGAATGCTGGTACGAAAGCGTTCCTGATATTGGAGAGTGAAAAAGAAAAGGTCGTAATATGACGTCATTTGGAGTTAATAGGCGAGTTAACTTGCAGAGGAAATGTGTGGACAAGAGATTAGGATTCATACGCCAAACAAGGTAAGTAAATAGGTTTAATTTTTTAATAATCAAAGCTGAAATATATGAAGCTTCTAATACAAATACCCACTTCAGATTCTTCACGAAGTTCTTGACAACATAAATTCTACTATTGACTTTCTATTCCGCTTCCAGTTATTTGAGGCCTTGCGACATGGCCTTGAGGATATGGGAGAAGGACTGATTTTGTTTCCCAATAGAATGTCGTTCAATTACTTAGGAATTCTAACGATGTCGCCTGCCCGTGATAATCAACCTACGGCAATGGTATCAAGTGTGTTGCTCTCCTGTGAGATTTTGTCATGAGTTGCAGGTTGAAATCCCCCATCTCTAAAATCTGACCTCGTTCAGCTTTAGCCGAAGCGAATATTATGTAAATAGAATGGACAATACAATACAAGATTTGTAGGTCTAGAATCAATATTTTGACGCAAGAAAGTGTCGTCGCGATCAGGAATAAAATATTAGAATACATACCCCTTGATGAAAATATGCTTCAAGTTGCAACAACGTATCATCCACCATCGCACGTCCTACCAGTGGCGGCTGGTGCCCCAAGGGGCTGGAGGTTGCACCTCCATCGAACGACGGAAATGTAATTTGCAAAATTCAAATACGAATATATAATAAAAGTGTAAGCAATTGAAATTAATTGCCCCTACGTGCAATAAAAATCTACATTGAATCATTTTTTACATAATTTTGTGCATCGTGACCGCGTCAGGTTTATTATACATCTCCCACGCACGTGGTTCTGGCTTTGATTCCCTCTGGTCACTTAAGTTCGACTCCAGCACATCGCAACTAGCACAATTGTTTTGATCCGTATCAGACAAAAAATTATTTTATTTCGAAATTATCACTACTCTAGTATATTTTGTAACAAATATCCTTCCAAACACACACACACACACACATATTCTACTACCGCCCTCCGTGGTGTAACTGCAGCCTGCTGAATCTGCCAAGAAAGGGGCTTCCTTCCAGTTCGGCCAACTTTACATAGAGAATTCATCAAGTGTACATTTTAAATCAGTAAATCTAATATCAAATGTAAAGAATTCTCTAAATATCATGTGCATTAAATGCCGTCAATAATTAACTGAACTTGTGTACTTTAGTAACAAGCAAAATTCACAAAATTATGTTGAAGCGGGTAAGACGAAGATAGAATTTTGAAATTCCCCTGAGACTTCCTTCACCGCAGCGCAGCGCGGCGACAACGCCACCCGTCTGGTTGCTCAACCAAAAGACCCTATGTTGCTCAAGTTAAATCCAAATGAAAATCCAAATAAGAGCAAAAAAGTAAATGAAAAAACAGTAATACAGCCAAAATCCTAGATCGTGGTGCAATAACTGGTTAGGCGCTGGAGAGAGAGAGAGTTGGACAATATCTTAAATATTGAATGTCCTCAAAAGAAAAATGTATATTCCTAAGAAATTAAGAGATGTTTTCCGATTATTTCTGGGGGTTGAGCAACTGTGAAACCTAAGTACGAGCCGTCACTGCGTTCTACTGACTCATCCCCGTTACGCTGATGTTTGTGCGTTCTACATAACGTGGCGTGAGATGCGTTACAGTCACCGTCTATTAATTCAGAGAGGGATGCAGTCGATACATCGCTTCGAAGTCCATGAATCTCAAAGGGGCCCAAAGAGCCCAAGGGGCACTGAAACCAAAAGCGTGCTATAACGTTTACGAAAATTTGAACGTTTATTCATTTATTTTTTTATTGAACCATATCTTCGTCAATTTCTCATGTTAATATTTTCTCACTGTTAAGTCCTGAGTGGGCCATAGTGTCTATTAAAAGATATTTGGAGAAAGTGGACTAAAAACCGCTGTGCGCAACCGAATGCCGAAGTTTATACAAAGTCTGTTCCAAATATGCAAATGCAATAGATTGTAAGAGATAATAGTATACGCATATGTGGAATCTTTATATGGGCCACACAACTTCATGCACCAGCACAGGATTTTTTCTCGGATCCCCCTCCAGTCATCCATCACGTTGGCGGAGAAGCGTTGGCGGAGGGACATTTGAGGAGCGTGGGGGAGGAGTGTTGGAGGAGGTGAGTTGAAGGATGCGCTTTGAAAGAGGGGAGAAGCGATGGAAGAGGAGCGTTAGAGGAGTTTGGAGGGGGAACGTTGGAGGAGGAGCGTTGGGTAAGGGGGGTCTTGGAGGAGGAGGGGCTTTGAAAGAGAATCGTTGTAGGAGTGTTGGAGGAAGAGTGTTAGGGCAGATGTGTTGGAACACTTCGAACGATGAGCGCTTGATTGTAGATTTCATGTTTGAGAAAACTTGAACAAAAGAGGCCTTGATATTAGTCGTGAAAATTGTAATTTTAGGTAATAAGAAAATAAATGTTTTTCAACAAATCAGTGTAGTATTTAATATAATATATACATGTGTAATAGCATGGATTAAACAGTTGCTTTGCGACAAAAAATCGTTCTGGGAGAGCAATGGTTTTTGAATATCACTGATCTTACGTCAAGGCTTCCACAAAGAAGTGTAATAGGGCACCTCCTTTTCATAGCTTTCAAAAATCATCTCCCAAATAACGTACGTTCGAAAGTACGAATATTCACAGACGACTGCGCGTTATACCAAGCAATTAAATTAAACTATGAAAATATTTTGCAACAGAACTTAGAACTCTTCCGATATTGCTCTGAAATAAATGGTAAGGAACAATGAATGAATATTTATGAACAATGACCTCTCTCGTGATCCTTTTGCAATTATCAGAACTTTGAAAGTATCCACTGGCTTGATGCAACAATACTTAGTATTATCTTTTTTTGCCAGAATCTTGTGGCGCTCTTTGTTTTCGAAGTATGAGTAAGCTTCTTCGCATGCTGTTTTTCCTCATACGTCACGAATTCATTAACGTCATTGCACTTCCACTCGATTAGTATTTTGCAATTTCATCCTCATAAATCATAAGTTCAATGGTGCTTTATACAGGTAGAACATGTGCTACCTCCCCGATAAACAAAAGCGACGTTTCAATCGCTGGGTTCTCAAGAAGTACATATGCCCGTTTCTGAAAAAAAACACGCCAACGTCAACAATATATTTTTATTTATGATCATCGCCACAAACGCAAGAAGATAACGAAACCTTATGAAAAAATGAAGATAGAATAATGTTAGGTGAGTCATTTCTGGCGTAATCATTCCCAAGATGTACGATAAGAAATAGGATCGGAGAGTAATAAATTAGGAAAACTCATTAGTTGGAGAAACAGTTTCAAACTGAAAATATAATACCTCCACTAAGATTTGATTGAAGTTTCATTCATTTAAAATGCGAATTTGCTAATAAATTTGTAATTAGGCTTTTATGTTTGAAGAATGTAGTTAGTACTAGAAAATTCTGATTTTCTCTCAAATAAATAATACATATTTATTAATGTATTAGTTTCTGGTTATTAGAGTTAGCACATGCATATATTTCAAAAACTTCAAAATTACTAGTACTTTTTTTTATAGAATGTCACGTAACAATATGCCAGCCAACGTAAGTGCGAGCCAACGTAAAGTGATTTACAAAGAAAGGAGCAAGAGAAGAAAAGATAAAATAGGAAGGTGACTGTGGCAAGATTAGAAGAGAGGTTCAGATTAGACACAAGAAAGAAGAAAAACAAGATAGAAAAGACGGAAGAAATAAGAGCAAGAAAAAGGGAGAGGAAACATGAAATTTGCAGAAAAGGCGGTGGAGATCGATGAACAAGGAAGGCCTGACCCATGGTTCTTGAGAATCTATCAGTTGAGTCACGATTTCAAGTGCAAAAGGCAAAATCCCAGGAAGAGGCCACAAATTTGAAACATGCGAATAAGAAGTAAAATATGTGTGAAAAGCTGAGCTTGAGTTGTGAAGTTTCCCTAGGGATGGCGAAATTAGCGAAACTATTTTGTATTCCTCCTACAAATGCAGCAAGTGAAACAATGATGAGTATAGTTGATAAACCTTATGTTAGAAGCAAGGAAGAATATTTACTTGACAAAATTAATGACAATCTTTGGATCAATATTTTTGAAAAAGAAATATGTATGACATTTATTTCTTACTTGTATTTTTATTACACAATGAATTGTTTTGAGAGTTGCAAATGTAGCTATAATATGTTCCTGAAAGGTTCGTCAAGTTTCTTGCTGACGTAGTTCTGAAACACTTGTCATCGATCCCTTCTTCAACAGGCGGGAACCGAGAGAGGTGGCTCAGTGCATCAAGTGATGTCACTGCAGTGCCTCCGACCGGGAAGTCCTAGTTTCGAGTCCCGACAGTGGCAAGATTTTCGACACTAGCATGTCAGCTGCATTGAATTCAGTCGCTGTATGGAGAAGACTAGAGATACCTGGTTGGGGAAAACTTTGCTGGCACCGGATCTCGCCATCCAGCGGGGGAAGATCCCCGCCACCGCTCGAGGAAAAAAAAGCATACACTACACTTACGGAACTAGTGATATCTTTAGTTGACTCGCTCGGAATCACTAACAACCAACCAACCAACCAAGAAGCGGGATAAAGCTACAAGGCCATTGTCTTGTGAACTCGTGAACCTGTGAAACAGCTCACTACGAGCGAGAGCTAGACGCTCAAGATTGACAGGTTCCAGCATGTATAAGCGAGCAAGTGGTTTGTCTTGCATCACTCATATTCTGTAGCCGATATGGGTTCACGAGTCACATCGGCGCGATGACTGTGGAGCTGTAGGCACCGTTTGGGTGAGTCTGTAGTAATTGAATTGAATTGAATTAATGCCTTATTTTACGTGGCGAGACTCAGGCCATGAGGCCTGCTCGTCCGTCTGACCAAGCAAATTTCGATACGCTCCTTTCACCAACTAGCAGAGAAAGAAGGTATTTCTTGGGTGAAAAACGAGCGATATGAATTTAGCTCAGAGGGGTCATTTAGGCTTGAGGATCTTTTACATGCAAGTAAATCTACTAACATGGGACAGCCGGCTTTACTTCCCCTCCGAAGGAAGGCGTACGTAGGATTTTTTCGCCCTTACAAAGCCACGGCTTCGATCGGGTTTGAACCCGCCAACTTGGGTACAACAATAATGTTCTGTCCTGCTCGACAGCCCGATACGGGCCTTGGCCGACAAGCGGTAGTCTAGCCTCTCGGCCATGGGATAAGGGGTTAATGTGGTTAGCACGAAGACATTCCTTCACCCTATATGCTGGTCTTTTTAACCTTGGGGTGGGCTTTCTCATTGTCACACAGCAATAAGATACTGGGACATTTGTAAGGAAAGGGCACAGTTATAATTTTGCCTCGTACGGGAATCAAA